CTTCGTTCAATGTTGTCAACTAATATCCGGATTAAGTTTATGCAAATTTTCCTCAATTCTCCAGAGAAATTTTCATAAAAATTTGAAAAACCCGGAATTCCGGGAAAATCCGGAGGACTTTCATCTCTGAGCAATGAAATTCGTAAGTAGAGGTACCACTGTCCTGATAAATACAGAGCAATATGAGCTGACATGGATTAATAACTGTGTATTCCAGTTTGAGCCAATTTACGAAATTGATGATGATCAGCACCAAGGCAACTTCGTTCACTTCATTAAGTAATACAAAAAACATGTACAGTATTTGCAAATGGTCAGACGTACTATGTATTAACATTGTCATGCATACTGTATGTGCTTACAACCTGACTGCCACAAAAAAATGTGGCCTTGGCTAGCCTTTACTGTCAGTGACATTTCATTATTTTAGAAAATTAGTGAGACACACTTTAGAGTTAATGTCATGCTTGGTTTGTTTTACCTCAAGAAAGTTTCCCATCAAATAGTTGACAGTAATCCAGCCGTACAGTCCTTCCTCCTGACCAGTAATGATGGATGCATTTTGGAAGTCAAAGGGCAGAGATTGGAGATATACTTCCAGACTATTCAGGATTTCGCTAGCCCGCTGCATATCTTTCTCTCTTACAACAAAGCACAGAAAAAAGTAATCAAATAGTGACAAATGTTACACCAAATATAAATGGGAAATAAAGAAAAAAAGTTATTCCAACATTTTTCAAAACACAATGAAAAATGGTCATTAATCCTACAAGAAATGCACATTTCTAATGGAGCATAATAAACTGATTTGGATTTGAATCAGTGGTCCTAACATGCAGGGGCATGCAGAGACCTTTTGAAGGGGCAGCTGTTCAAAGTTAAGAAGGGGCACATGTGTCACGTTGCGAGGTGGTGGTGAACCCCAAAAAGCAGGAGGAAGGAGGGAGGAGCAGGTTGTACGTGAAGAATTGTATTGATAAAAACACAGAAAACTAAATCCAAAACAAAGTCCTGAACACAAAACTAATCCAACGTATCAAACAAAATCCAGGCTGTAGCTAAAAACTCACAGTCACCAAAACATGATCGAGAACATGACCAAGAACATGACAGACAAACATGACAGCTACAACAAACAAACAATGACCTGACACCGAGTGGTCCAGCCGGGAGTCCTTTTACAGCAATAATCACATAACGACCAACAAGTGTGCAGCTGCAGGTAGAGCCCTACAGTGCCACCTGTTGGTCACAAACCAAAACATGACAACATGGCCTTTTTTTTTTAATTGTGGAAATAAAATGCAAAATTGTTGCCAATAAATACAACTTTTTTAGCTCCCTACTGGACAGTTGGGACATCAAATAGTGAGCTCATTTGACAAAAGGTCACAGTCAAGGTCCTGGGCTACAGACAAGGGAAAAAGCAAAGACGTTCTGTAAAACCTGCCACTGCAGGCTATTGACAAGAACAAATGACTAAAAGACACTTGCCTTTCAGGACACAAGGCTTTGTACAGAAAAAGAGTGTGCCATTTGCTCACCCAGATATAAAATTTGTTCATGAGAATTTAACCCACAACTTAGATCCTGGCCACGAATTAGCATTTCTGTCCAATGTCATGCCTATGTTGTGACTAATCAAACTCCCCCCCACCCCCTCCAAAAAACATCCCATGTCATGTCATGATGCGAATGATGTTGTGAGACGTGTCTTCAAAGTGTGTCTCAAGAAAAGTGGGCATGCCAAATGAAGTCCTGATTCGGAGCGTGTGTCTCCCCCCCCCAAAAAAAAAAACACATGAAAAAAAAAAACTTGTGACCAATGACAAATGAGGCCTCGGTTTTCACAGATGACATTAATGGTTCATGCAACTTATCGGTACTTCATATGTCAAGTCAAGCCAACTTTATTGTAAAATGTGCTCTATGTGCAACATACAGCACAGATTTCTTTCCTCTCAACCACACGAAAGAGAGGAGCTGCTGTGGGTACCTGCAAAATGACAATGTAATACAACACAACACATAAGACACAGACAATCATGCAATCTTAACCACTTTTTCTGCATACACTTTGTTGTTTGAAGCAGTTACGGATGAAAGAGGAGCGATTCAGTGTCCTTTCGCCAGTGGATCAAAGACGTCATGCTGAAAATGTGCACACGTCTGCTACAAGCTAAGTTTGAAAGCAAACAAGAAGCTGTAGCGTCCATTGACGAAAAAAGAGATTGTCTCACATCTCCTGTCCCGTGTAAATCCGCTTCAATTCCGAGCGGCAACTCATAGTTCCACATACGCATCTGCGCTGTGCGCTGACACTCCTTTCTTCTCATCGTCGGCTCCACAAGCCATCCATTAATCCATCCCCAGACTGTTCAACAGCACCGACTTTTCCGCTGAACAAAACAGCGCTGTGAAAAATTCTGCCCATTACACGCGCAAAAAAAAAAAAACAAGCGCCCCAGGGCTGTCCAGCACCGGCAGTCAAATGGCACCGACATTCCTCCCAATCAAAATCAGTGCTGGTACACGCGTGCTACCGAGAAGGCGCAACCACCACGCACAGATTCTTCTGCTTTGACGAATGTCGTGGCCAAAAAAATGCTGAAAACAATCCACATCAGGTCCACACGACATAACAACACACCCCATGTGACAAAACAAAACACAAAAACAAACAAACAAAAAAAAAAGCAAGGCGCTTGAAGTGCACTTGTCAACAGCTGCCTACTCAGGTGCCATCTTGGAGAAAAAAAAAACCATAACACTTGAGTCTTGACTTAGTACCACTTTGCAGGTCTTGTCAGCTCTTATCTGCTGTGCTTCTGATGAAATGGACTTTCATGCAGTTTTAGTTTACATTCTCTTGCTCTAGCACAATATTGTGTGGTGTTGTTGCCCACTCAGCATTGATTGTAGAATTGTCATTCTGGAATGACATCTGTGGCCCCCTCTCAAGGTCTTATTTTTTCCCCGCCAAATGGGGTTTGGACAAAACTCTTTCCGGTTGAAGGATTAGGTCAGAGGGTATCGCAAATCTTTATCAATTGTGAGGCCCTTTGAGACTATTTTAGGATAAAGGGCTATGAAAATATAATTGACTTCGCTTGAAAAACTGTCAAATGTGTATTCAATATGAATAACTTCAATGTACTTTGAAAGAGTACGCTCTTTATGCCAGTCATTTAAGTAACATAAAGTCTCCATATTTGAAATGAATTAAACTTTAAAAAATATGTTTTTGCTAGCCTTGTATGCATGTATCTTGTACTTCTACAATCTCAAAGTGATGTTGAGTCAGACAGGAAGTCTGAGGCACTTAGGGTGGTGAAGTCCACCATCCTCATTCACTGCCCTCAGCCAATAACTTTCAAATGGAGTAACCATAAAAGGATATGTCATTCCTTGTATGGAGTAACCATAAAAGGACATATCATTCCTTGTGCGGCTTCGAGTGGCTCCAACACATGTTCACAACAGTAACCTGCCACATCCAATATGGCCACAACATGTTTGCACATCGATGGGGCAGCCATATTGGATGTGGTTCAGCCAGGCACCTAACTAGGTTTGACTTCATATTCAACTCAGTGAAGTCACTTCAACATCTTGGGAAATTCTGCCGGACTGTCAAGGGCAATAGCACAGGTGGTGATAATTGACCACCTGGTAAAGGATGTTAGAGTGGGCGTGTTTTTAGTTACTCATTAGTTGAATAAATCAGTCCTTTACGTATTGCTCATCGCTAATGTTTATTTTTCTGCTTACTCCCTTTCCGGGGCGATTCGCCGGTCACGCATTCTATTCACCTGGTAGACTTTAAGCTTATTTTGAAGGGTATAGAGCAGGGATGGCCAACCAGTCAGAGACTAAGAGCCAGTTTCTTTACTGCGTTACTGCAAAGAGCCACATCACACACACACACACACACACACACACACACACACACACACACACACACACACACACACACGATCTCCAGTGTTACTGCAAGTTACTTACGACTTGGGTCATCTTGCTACATATTTGACCGAACATCGACTTTTGAAGCTACGAACTTCCCGAAACCGACCGATCGCGCACGTGCAAGCATATACAGATGCACGCACGCACACACGTGCACATACGCAAGCACGCACGCCGAACGACAGCCGGAACACACGTGCGCATACGCAAGCACGCACGCCGAACGACAGCCGGAACGTCACCGAACATGAACGGAATTGAAACACACAGACACACAAAGTTTTTTTCGGCCCTATTTCCTCCTCCCAACGTTCGCACGTGACTTGGGACTAGTCCGCTGGCTCCGGGTCGATCGCGATTGACGTATTGTACAAACCTGCCTTAAAATCTGAGGTAATTCGCTGACTAGCTTAGCGTTTAGCGCTGAGCACCATTGTTTGCGCATGAGAGGTGATTCAGTTGTCATCTGATTGGTTGCCCTGTATGTCAATCATAAGCGCAAAGCACTGTGGTTTGCGCATGAGCGGTGATTCAGTTGTTATCTGATTGGTTGCCCTGTATGTCAATCAAGTAACGGGCTTGATGATAGGCTGACGTAGTAAGTTCTCTGTATTTAACACCGTTGTTTGAATGGCAGCGCCACTGCCGAGGCGTTTTCAACGCTTTTCATTTGAAAGCCCGGGAGCCGCATTGAGCCGGCCAAAGAGCCGCATGCGGCTCACGAGCCGCGGGTTGGCCACCCCTGGTATAGAGTGTAAGCAGGTGAACTTAGACGCCGTGCATAGCTGAATAGGAGTTACATATATATAAATATGACTGCATTCACACTGCAGAGCGTGTTATGAAACTGTTATGAAAAACAACTTTGCAGATTTACGGACAGTTACCATTATCTTCCAATACATCACCTCAACAACTCCAAACATGTACACTGCAATATCTTCGTTCACAATCATTTTTATGTCAATATAAAAACTTTAAACTAAAAAAAAAACAACAAAAAAAAAAACCAATAAAAATAAATAAATAAAACATATAAAATGCAATATAAAAAAATAAAAACTTGAAAGAAATAAATCACATCATCTGCAATTGGTTGTCAACCAGTTCAGGGTGTACCCCAGCCTGAGGACAACTACGATAAGATCCAGCATGCCAGCGACCCTTATGAGGATAAAAGAGGTTCAGATAATGGAGGCAGGGATGAGAGTGGCTCGTGATGAAAAAATCTGAAAATCAGCCAGGGGTCTGGGGCCGCAGGCAACGCCCCGGATGGGGGCCCAGGGAGCAAAGCCCCCTGAAGCTAATGGTTTTCAGAGATTTTAAAGCCTTAAAACCATTAATTTTATCAACAAAATTTTAACATTTTTGTTGAAATATCATTCCCTATTTGCTTACAAAATTGGCACTTTATACTAAACATGCTCAAGATGAAGTGTTTTCAATGTACACACTACTTGAAACTTTCACAGAAAAAAATTCCAAGATTGTTCACTATTCTTGCAAGTGAAAATTTTACATAGGCCTTTGTGCAATTTTGCTGATTCATTCCTGGTGAGCACCAACATGTAACTTCAAATTTGCTGCTCAAAATCAAAACTAAAAAAGGAAACACATTCCCTGCCATATTTAAAATGATGTGCGTTTTTGGGACGCAAGGAAAATTCGCAGTCAAAACAACAAAAAAAAAAAAACTACGGCAGGCCTGGGGGTTTTTCGGTAACAATCGTTACCGGTAGCTTGTCGTTTCCGTGGCATCATTTTGACGGTGCAGAAAAATCGTTTCCCATAAAAGTCACTGCACACGAGTTGACTGTACGCGATTGAATCTCTCCTGTGTGATCAACGCGATTTCACTGTGCCTGTACGTGTGTTTGTGGTGTGGTGTGTGAGTGTGTTTCTTCTAATTTATTTTCGTTTTGTTTTCAGTGTTGGGGGAGGGGGGTGAACAGATGATGTTATGTGCGCATGCGGGTTGCTATTTTCGTCCGCAAACTGAGGAATCGCGTGGATGACAGTTTGAGATGGCGGCAAAAAAAAAACACACAAAGGTCTACTAATTAAGAAATGGGAATGCCAGTCTGATTTTCCGTATGAATCATCCGAAGGGCGTATCACAAAACTCACCTGTGATGTATGCACAGAACACGAGAGCGAGTTACGACGGGAGGCACGATTCCGAGGCAAGTTGGTCATTAGATCTACAGGCTAATCTCTATGAAAAATATGATGAAACAGTATTGGTAATTCTATAATTTACTGGTTGTAGCGTGGTAACTTTATGAATAAAACATTCGTCACAAGGTGTAGTAATGCTAATGTTAACTGTCGGTAGAACTAACGATGACGTGTGGTAGATTCTTTCGTCAAATTGATACACATGCATCGTCTTGGGAAGAGGTTGTCACATCAATACTTAGCTGTATTAATGATTACCAGTAAATTAATCTTTGCAGTGTTAGACTGGGAAAAAATACTCAGATTTTGTGGTATGCTGTATTGATGATGCCATATGAGTACAACATATTTCGATGTAGTTATTTTGTTGAATAAACTTGGAGTACACAGCTGCTGATGTAATGATCATTGTTAATGCGTAATTTTCAAACTTTTACCCTTGAAACATTATACTTTTGAGTATCAGAATTCTTGATGATGAATATCAGTCAAAATAGAAAAATGGGTTCCCATGATGAACGTTTACGGAACCCAAAATTACCGTGGTTTCCTATTGGGTAATCCGACGGAACCAAAAAAAACGGTTCCCGTGAATTTCCAAAATCCTCAGGCCTGCTACGGTACATCTATTTTTCCCGCAACGATCACAGTTTGACAATCGCCGCTATTGTTGTTTTGATCTTGCGTGACAAGATTTCCGTTCTCACGAGACGAGATTGGCGAGATCAGCCTTCACCTCGTGGAGAGCAGACGATTGCCAAGTTGTGTAACGTTAAAACAAGTTTTGCGAACGTTTATTGCGGAGATATCACAGAGGAAGCAGCTAAATTTGGATAGTTTTTTGTGATAATAAGTCGACTTTGAGAAAGCCTGGCATCATTGGAAGAGGAGTAAAGAGAGGAGAATTTATGAACTCAAAGACTGAACCATGGGATGAAATAACAACCTATTTCTCAGCAAATCTTGTACGCCTGAATTATTTAATTTTTTGCAGCATTTTTTTTATAAGAAATTAACCTATTAGCAATGTATATTGTCATTGTTTGTCTTATTATCATATGCAATTGAATAAGTAGACCATTTCAGAAATCGAAATGTGGGACTCTCTAAATGCATAATGGGACTCATATATTTCTGATCAGCGAGTCCCTGCGAGTCCCTGGGACTCGCTGGGGTTAAACCGTAAAATTATCACTGAAGATTTGTTCATTACTTGTATTCATAAAATGTTGTGTAAATGTAATAAAAAGCTGTTGATTCTTACCTCATACAGTGATAGTGAAGTCCCAAACTGTTTACTATATTTGGGTTATGAAAGCATTTTCCGTATAGAATGACATCGTCACACACTGTACACAGAGCTTTACCAGCGACATCGAGGTTTTTCACGAAATCCGACACAAGCACAGACAATGGGTCGGTCCTCTTTAGTGGTTCCCACTGGGAACACCGTCAGCTTTGTATCCAACCAGTCCCATCGAAACTTGTTTTTCAGATCCGCATCTATCTGACGCATGTTAGCTTCGTCACGAGTCTCGATAACATTCGTCATTTGTTTAACACAGACTACATTACATACATGAGTAATTTCAATACACTACATCCCTCATGCAAAACCAGAATTCGCGGAAAAAGGGTTTAGGAAGGCAAACACGAATTGGTTGTGATTCTGCATTTGCCGATATAGCGACTAATCACAACGAGTAAGACATTGGTTTTTGACCATATACGAAGTAACAACAAACTCACGCTTCGCGAGAAAAAACAGTATTCAAAATGGATGATGGCAAACTGTATTTGTAATCATGACGAGTCCCGAGTCTGCCGAAGACAAGTAAGTCCGGCAGCCCAGAAATAACACCAGACCCTACCACCTCCCAAAAAAAATCTCAACGGATTTGGAACAATATCAAGAAGGTCCATTTTGACTGGAAAAAAGCGGAATTCTGCCAAAAAGCGGAAAAATTGCATCCCTGTGGATGGATGGAATCACATCATAGTCACCACAGATGCGAATGCGCATGCTCGCGCCTGTTTGTGTATGCTAACTGTTCCATACATAACGACTCTGAAAGTGCCCCGCCAAAAAATTCTGAATTGAAATAAGCCACTCCCCAAGGTAGTGCTGGTTGACCTTGACTCATCAAGTTCAGGTTTTCTTGAAAAGTGCATCTTGAAAGTGAATTTTTAATCATGGTCTGATATTATTCTCCATCGTAAATTAAGCTTTGATGTACATCAAGCTAAAAGAAGCGATCGTAGCTGAACCAATGAGAGGATGGAGGCAGCAAAGATGCCATTCAGGAGGTGAATCTACAATTTGATTGGCTAAAAGAAAGAACCATCAGTTTGAATGGTTCATGTGTGTGTGTGTGTGTGTGTGTGTGTGTGTGTGTGTGTGTGTGTGTGTGTGCGCACCTGAGGTTTTGAAATCATTGGATGAAGTATGTGCATGGCATCCTAATGTAACTGAAATCTGATTGGACAAAAGAAAAAGAAAACACAACCAACCACAGACCGCACTGCTCGGATGCATGCTATGAAATACAAACAAAAGACTGTTGGAAATAAATGACTATCACTTCATTTAAGTTGTAAATGTAGGTCTGTACTTCTGATGATGTTTGGGCCTGCAGAGAAGGCTTTGATGTCCCTGACGGCACGCTGCTGACGTGGATATACCCATTTTTACCTGCACCAAGATGTTTGTCTAAAATGAACAGGAAATGAGTTACGGTACTCTAAAATGATACCTCGTATACTCACTGTAAGAGTCTCATTCCAGCAGTAGCTCCCAAGAAGAGAGGCGTTGTTTTGTGCTTTTCAACAGGAATGGCTGCCAAGACATTTTTCATGCATTTTTTGAAGCCTTCCCATGTCTGTGCATCTTTCTTCGGGTCAATTTTCAATTCAGAGATTGGAACACCTAGAATGAGGTTATATATAAATTCCAGAGTCTATAAGATTAAAATGTAAGTTGGACTCACCAGAAACGTTGCAGTTCAATTTCTCCATCACAACTCCTGTTTCATTTTCCTTCTCCCCCAGCCACTCGTACAAATAGATGTTGGACCGAGATGATCCCGAGTCAATTACTATGCCATACTGTAGTAACAGAAATTATGCACAGGGTTGGGAGGGTTACTTTAAAAATGTATTCCAATCAATTTAGTAGTCATCTGTTAAAAAATGAGTTAGTGAAGTTATCCAAGTAACATCATTAAAATAATGCAACTTGAATAAGGTGGAACAGTGGTAGACTGGTTGGCTCCAGCGACCGCTTCTTGGCCATTGTTGTTTTTGTAGAAATATTGATTATGATTGTTATTATGATTATTAGGTCCCGAGCACTTATCGCTGCAAGGTCCCTAATGTCTTTTTGGGAAATTCTATTTCTTCTTCTTCTTCTTCTTCTTATTATTATTCATTCATTCATTCATTTTCCGATCTGCTTAATCCTCACAACTGTCGCGGGGGATGCTGAACCCCATCCCAGCCGTCTTCAGGCAGTAGGCAGGGGACATCCAGAACCGGTTGCCAGCCAATCGCAGGGCACATACAGACGAACAACCATACACGCTCACACTCGGGACAATTTAGAGTGTTCAATCAGCCTGCCATGCATGTTTTTTGGAACATGGGAGAAAACCGTGGTAAATGGAGAAAACCTACGCAGGCCCGGGGAGAACATGCAAACTCCACACAGGGAGGCCGGAGCTGGAATTGAAACCAGTACCTCTGCACTGTGAGGAGGACGCGCTAACCACTGGTCAACCGGGCCGCCCAATTATTATTATTATTATTATTATTATTATTATTATTATTATTATTATTACAGTGGTACCTCTACTTATGAAATTAATTCGTTCTGGAAGAAATTTCTTTACTACAAAATTGTAAGTAGAGATGCGTTTTCTATGTAAATGCCCTAATCTGTTCCAAGCCCCCCCAAAATTCAGACATAAATGTTTTCTCAAGCAGGGATGGCCAACCTGCGGCTCACGAGCCGCATGCGGCTCTTTGGCTGGTTCAATGACATGACAAGAGGCGAAAACGCCTTGTAGGTAGCGCTGCCAATCAAACAGCGCTAAATACGGCAGAATTTACGATGTCAATCCCGTTACTTGATTGACATACAGGGCAACCAGTCAGATGACAATTGAATCACCGCTCATGCGCAAACAACGCCGTTAAACACTAAGCGCGAAGCTAGTCAGCGAATTACCTCAGATTTTAAGGCGGGGGCGCCCAATACGTCGATCGCGATTGACGGGTGCCAGCGGACTGGTCCCAAGTCGAGTGCGAGGGTTGGGAGGAGGAATTGGTGGGGCTTCGTGTGTATGTGTGTTTCGATTTTGTTCATGTTCGGTGACGTTCCAGCTGTTCCTCATTCTGGCGTGCGTGTATTTGCGCACGTGTGCATGGTTGGGCGCCCACATGCATGAGCGTGTGGAAATGCTTGCACGTGAGCAATCAGGTCGATAGCGGGAGGTTGGTCACTTCAAAAGTCGATCTTGTATTAAAAAAGTTTGCCCACTGTGGCACGCTGACCCAAGTAGAAAGAAACCGCTGCAGCTCGCATGCAGACAATGCCTGCTTTGAGTGGCAACAACAGAATACAAACCAGATTTGACGAAGATTGTTCAAGAGAAGGAATGCCAGAAGTCCCTGCACTAACGCGCTAAGCAGCATGCATAGTAAGACAAAAATATTGTTATATTTTTGTTTGTGGACCTTGGTTGAACTGAGAGTTTGTGTTTGTGAGACAGTGCACACAATATTCATTGTTGAAAATGACTGGCCTTTGGTCTTTGTGCTGTCGGGGTCAATTTCTGCCATTATCATGTTGGTATGTGACATTTACAATAAATGTGGCTGAGCAGAAGTGTGTGCGTGTGTGTGTGTGTGTGTGTGTGTGTGTGTGTGTGTGTGTGTGTGTGTGTGTGTGTGTGTGTGTAAGGGATGCATTGATGTTTACGTGTGCCAACGTGTATGATGTGACTCTTTGCAGTCACACAGGAAAAAAATTGGCTCTTACTCTCTGACTGGTTGGCCACCCCTGTTCTTAGGCATAAAAATGCCTCAAAATATGTAACAAGTACATGTTACAATTCGGTTATTGCACAATAAATGAGAGTTTTGCATAATATAAAAAACAAAGAATAGAGTACCGGTAAAGAATAAAAATGATGGTCATTTAACTTTAAACTGCATCCTCGTAATTTTTTTTTTTGCCCTCTTTAGTTCATGTTCTCTCTCAAAAGTGGTTTTTGTCTGTCGTTTTATGAAGAACTGATCCAAGGACATTTGCTTTTATTGGCTTTTAACAATCATTCGAAAATGTCCAAGGCAAACAGCATAGTGAGCGATTGCCCTACTAATGAAAACTTTTTCTGGGTAATTCACATTTACATAAAACTATCGGAGCTCCTAATGGCCCGAGGGGCCAATGACGAGGACGCTGCATCGACACCTATCTATCTACACACCAAGGCATATTCGGTAGAAGTCCCTCTTAGCCAATGGGATGCCATAATGATGCTCGGTAATAGCCATCGGCAAAGCAGCTATAAGTATGTTGCGTTCAGGAAACTCTGAGTTGTGAGGAGCAGCCTATCCTGTATTTTTACCGTTTGTATCTTGAAATTTCTTTCAGAACAAGAGGCAATATTTTCCTGTTGAGGCGTTTCGTAACTTGAAAATTTCATATGAAGAGACGTTTGTAAGTAGAGGTACCACTGTATTGTTATTATTAAAGTCTTCTTCTTCTCGAGTCACTTCGTATCATCAGATGATTCCAGTCCATTGTTGGATGCATTGTCTGGCATTCAGGGTGAGATCAGCTAGGTCGTCTTGGGTGCAAGATGTCGGGAGGAGTGGGCAGACAAGGAGATGTTGGATGGTCTGACCCTCTCCACACAGACAAGAAATGTCGCCAATCTCATTAAACCCCCACTTTATCAGATTTGTTTTGCATCGGCCGACAGCAGTTCTCAAGCGGTTACGGCAAGACCAGAGTGGCCATGCTTCACTGGCACCAGATGGAAGAGATTCGCATGGCCTGGTAAAAGACACTGTGTGTGGGGCTTGGATAAGATGTTCTGTCCACAGAGCGACACGCTGCTTGTCCGGATTTCTGTCCAGAGTGCAGGAAGCTATGCCTTGATTTTAACCTTTGCTTTGGCTCTTGATTGTAGAGTTGGTGGCAAGTGGCAGTTTCTTGTCTCAGCTTTTCTTTCTGGGAGGCAACTGTCCTCCAGATGCTTGGTGGAGCAATCCCACTTAGTAGGTATAGGTCATCAACCTTTGTGGGCTTCAAGCAGCCAGTCACAGCACGGCAAGCAGAGTTTAGCACTGTGGTAGTAGTAGTATTTATTTTTTTCGGCCGTGGTGAAAATTTTGATATTTTAAAGTTCTCATAAACGATGATAACAAAATGGCTCTGCAGTGCCACCTAGAGTGGAAAAATAAAAACCAATCCCGGTACATTTGACCTAGGCCCATGAACATTGGCAGACACGGGTAGCACCCTGAGACAAACAAAAAAGTCCATTGCAGCCATCGTCTAAAATGAACAGGAGATAAGTTATGAATTTTTAAATGTACATTTTTGGCCCATTTTTGCAAATTTACAAAGGTCATACACTTACAACCTTGCCGAGAGCAGGGGTCGGCAACCCAAAATGTTGAAAGAGCCATATTGGAACAAAAAAAATTAAAAGCAAATGTGTCTGGAGCCGCAACAAATTAAAAGCCTCAGAAAGAAGGCAACACACGCTGTATGTATCTATATTAGCTATATCAGCCTACTATCAAAATGACTAAGTTGGCTACAAATATACAATGAGCCTTTCCGATTAAACGTTTTTATTCCTCTTGCACTGCATCCTGTAGAGCAGGGGGGCCCAACCTTTTTTGACCAAACCTCATTTTTCGATCAACCAGCCTCCCGTGATCGACCCGTGACCGCACACGCACGCAAATGCACGCACTTACACACGCATGCCATAATGAGCAACAGCCATAACGACGGCTAAGATGAACGAGGTATGGGACGCACTTTTGCGGCGTGTTAACTTTCGTAGCTGACGTGTATCATTTTAAAATGCTTCTCTCGGTCCATTCTTTGCCAGTTCCCTCGGTGAATTGGACATGAAACGCCGTTTCTTCTTAAAACAGCCACCTGCCTGGCACCCCGCTCTGCTTATATAAACGAGCGTCGTATGCTATGATGCAAATCTTCGTTGACAGAAATGTTGAAATGTAATATTTATTTGATATATTTTTACAGCATTGTAAAATGCTAAGAATGTTTGTCCTCCTCCAGAAACCATATTCAAACAAAAAATATATTTTCACTCCCCCATCTTTTTCCATTTTCAAACATTTTAAAAAGCTCCAGGGAACCACTAGGCGGCGGTAAAGAGCCGCATGCGGCTCGGGAGCCACGTGTTGCCGACCCCCACCCTACAGGATTCATGGATTGATTTCACACTTTGGCAATACCATCTTAAGTCATGGGAAAAAATGTCAAGTTTTTGAAATACTAATATGAGGTCATGACTGTTCTGTCTGTCACCAGCAGGTGACACTGGACAGTCATCCTCTCCCATTCCGCACCTGTTTCCCATCATGGCATCAAGTCTTGCCTGTTATAAGGTACTCTTCAAGTCTGTTGTCCAAATAGTCGCCTTGCTCACGTCTCATGTCCAAGTTGTCATGTCTTATTCTTATCCTGGATATTTTGTTACCAGTGTTTAAATGTTGTACTTGGTGGGTCTTGTGACCTTATTTGGTAAATAAACCATTTTTGTATTCGATCTTCTCTTGGTCTGAATTTGTGAGGTCCGTTCCTGTTCCGGACTGGTCCGGAATCTTAATATATGACAGGAGCGGGGTATCAGAACTTATATTTCAAATATCTTGTGCCACAAAGGAAGAAATGCTTAATAAATTCCCTGCACATGTTCCCCAGAAATCCCAAACTTAAGCATGTTTATATATAGTCACGTCCAGAAGAAATCTATCTCAGAATATTCTGTTATACATATAGCATAAGCCGGCACTATCAAAGGGTTGTCTGCACCATTGTGGGTATGAACACAGCTGACATGGTAAAATAAACATTTTATTTGCCCAAGAGCAGCAGCATTATGAAGCATGCAACGCACATTCATGAGGAATTGCAAGCAGACCTCCATGGATGGATGATGTAAAGTTAGCCAGGGAAATTAAGTACTGCAAAGTGGACACTTTGAGACGGCCTTCCATCTCACTCGTTCATCTCCGTATTTGGCCCCAGCCTACCCTAAACTCCGCTCTGCTGCAGACAATCGGTTGATTTTTAAAATACAACCATTAAGATGATAATTATAATACTGTGTTCACTTCTACAACAATTCAGAGGGTTTGATGCTCATAAATCTGTCTGCTTGTGCCCTGATCAAATTTCCCAAAATCGTATTAGACGACCTGTGCCAAAACTGGTGTGGCTCAAGCAGGTTTCGACTACTTTCTACCAACAAATTGTCAGATATGCCGTTGTGTCAAATGACCCACCCCTGGTACTGCTGAATGGCTACTATGGCGCAGAGCAATGAAACACTTTCCCTAAAAGATGCATCGAGGCTTGCACCTGCACAAAAATTACAAGCACATATCCACATGCGCCATGTATGAAAATAGAGCCCTCAAAGTTCTACATTTAGTGATCTCCCTTGCAGCACATCTTTGGTAGCCGAGTTTATACGTGCTAGTTTACACACACTCACCTCTAAGGTATACTCCATGGACCTCCAATTGTGCTGGATAACAGCAACAGCGATGAGCCCAGCAATGCTAGCCAAGAGGAGGAAGAGAACTGTGGCTATGCGGCACTTGTAGCCCACTTTTTTTGTCAACGCCATTTCCTGTTGGCAAAAAATAAAATTGTGTGGTTTTCACTAAAATCCTCTAAGTCAGTGTTTTTCAACCGGTGTGCCGCGGCACACCAGTGTGCCGCGAGACATTGTCAGGTGTGCCACGGGAAAATATCCAATTTGTATGCCTGTGCGGTCTTTCGCCCAGAAAGTAATCATGTAGTACCCTCCCATACCGCTAGAGAGCAGCAACAGCTAGCCAATTGCCTTGTGTTACGACGAGAGACGCGAATTTGTGACGCACGAATGCAGGATGACGGTGAAACAATATGAAAGATGATAAAATACTGTTTTCTTTGTGTTCATTAGATTCCAATTCAAGCTGTTATAACGTCATTCTTCAGTGTTAAAAACGGTTATAGTAACAATATAACACGTTAGTTGGTAAAATAAGCGAGGGGAGTGGGGGTCACATTTTCAGCTAGTGGTGTGCCGCGAGATTTTTTTCAATGAAAAAAAGTTCAAAGAACCCTGATCTAAACAGCCCCAGGTTTCACACTGATTGAGTATAAATAAACTGAGAAATTATATTTTAATTAAATCCACTGTTCAGAGTGTCATTTTATCACATTTTTGGTTAGTGGTGTGCCACAAAATTTTTCCAATGTAAAAAACGTGCCCTGGCTTGAAAAAGGTTGAAAAACACTGCTCTAAGTAATGATGAAAAATGATGGTGCTCAATTATAGTCGGCGGAGCACATAAGTCGTGCGCCGGTGTGCATGTACACTGGAAATTGAATATTGTGGAAGTCTGTTGTGCTTTTTACGCACATTTATAAAACAGTGTATTGTATTGTTTTAATAAACTGGATGGTGTAGCCATGTTATAATTATGTTGTAATTAAGAACTAAAAACTGTAACCTAAAAAAAGACAAATGTTTGTTCAATCACATTAAATGACATATTCACAAATATTAAAGCTAAACCTTGCCCAGATGTGCTCCAAGTCTTGAAATTCATCCAAGAGGTTGGTGGATCCGGAAAAAGTTGACAACCTCTTTTGCTAATTTCAGAACCATACCACCACTTTTATATGTGCCCCTGATTATTTTGCTATATGTTTACTTTAAAAGGGAAATGAAAAATAGGATCTTTAATCGTGTATATTGACTGAAGACTTTCAGATCATACTTCAGGAATTGCAGTCAGGGACTAGAACATTTTGATCTGCAAAAACTTCAATATTACACCTCCAAGGCTCAAAATATATATTTTTCTTTGCAGAGCAGTTTTGCAAATCAATGACATCATTTGAGCAGCAACTTTCTAACTTTGTGGAGAATTTTATTTTTTCAGTTAATTCTCTCACTGCCCTGGGGGCCTCACCCCACCAGGAACAGGAACTGTGTAACCTTGTCAAGGTGTGACAGCTTAAACCTAGCTAGTGCCTGGCCGGGCTCGGTGCATCGGGAGCCTGTCACCCTGCAGGGCGTATGACACTAGGATGGCTCAAATGAGCAGTTCCGCCCCTGACTTATGTCAGGGCTTCGCAGCCCGTCAGTGTGCTGTAAGATGGCAGCCCCATCGGCTGCCACTCGGCCAACTACCCAGCATGGTGAAAAAAAATAATTGCGAAACCGACTAAAGCAACCGGATTTAACCGGACGGACCTTCCTGATAACAGAACTCTGCCTGCACCTGACCAACGACATTTGGACCTCCACTATAAAACCCACATTGCCTGTTGGAACATCCAGACACTCCTGCGCCCTGGCTATCCAACACTACTCTTACATGAACTCTACAGGTATAACATCACCCTTGCTGGCCTTTGTGAGTCACGCTGGCCCGGAACCAGAAAAACCACCACCAGCGACCATCTTTTTCTGTGGAGTGGCCCGAATGATGTTCCAGAGGGACCCATGATCCACTGTGTCAAAATCAGCTTTGAGGTCAATAAAAGCAATGAAAAAGTGCCAGTCCTTTCTGAAGTCCGAGCCTTTTCTATTAGGAGTCGGAGAGCACAGATGTGGTCGATGGTGGAACGGTTGGGCATGAATTCGGCTTGCTGGCAGCGTCTGTTTCTGGTTGCAGGTAGAGCTCGAGTGAGTAGAATGAGGGTGAAAAGTTTACCGGAGATGGAGAGGAGCGTGACGCCTCTATGGTTGCTGCAGGTCAGTTGGTCTCCCTTGTGCTTCCAGATGTGAAGTATGATGCCCCGCCTCCAGTCATCAGGCAATTACTCCATGACCCACACGTGGTTGATGATCTGTGTGAGCCACAGGATGATATGGTTGCCACCAGCTTTCGGCATCTCTGCTGCTCTGTGCGCATAGACCTGGGGCATAATTTCTGAGCTTTGTCAAGGCTACTTTGACTTTCGATGGTGATACGGGGTGATGGCACAGTCTGGATTAGTGGTGAAGTATGTGGTGAAGGTTGGGTCTTCAGGGACAGGAGGATGATTTTGGAGCTCACTAAAGTGCTCCTCTCAACGACTGATGCACTCAGTTTTGGTTGAAAAAATGTTGCCAGCCCTGTCCTTGACTAAGAATCGGGGCTGGCGGGGGCCAGCTTTCCCTTTGCGGAGGAGGTTTGAAGAGCTGCCACAGATTGTTGTTTTGGGGAGCTGCCTCAATGGCTGACACCTGATTGCTACAGAATGTTTCTCTGTCATGTCGAAGGGAGATGTTCCGTTGGGTGTTGAGGAGCCGATACAGAGCCTTGTCCCCGCGCAACTGAGCGTCTCGTCTTCTGTTTACAATATCCAGGTTATTCTGGGATATCCCGGGCTTCTTCGGAGTAAGACATAGTTATTTGGGGGACGAGCAGTTCATTAAACTCTAAACCCAGAAGTGGGTGCCATTAAGGTAGGTGGGTGTGAAAAGGAACTTAGCCAGCTAATGTGCTTTAAATAATGTTGATGAATTATGATACCTATGCCATTAGCCTCTCTGCCACAATGTCATGCATTGTCGGTTTTTTGTGGGGTGAGGGGATGCTTTAAAAATGCGAGGACCGAGCGGGACGCAGGACGATTATTTTAGGAATAATGATGGAGGGACGATGATGGCAGGGTGCCCAGGTCACAGACCGAGTACGGACCAGCAAAATAGGATAAAGTGCCCATCAGAACCACTTATTGTGGCATTTCAGATAATTACAATAATAATAATAATAATAATGCATTTTATTTAAAAGCGCCTTTCATGCCACCCAAGGACACTGTACAGACAATAAGAAAATACAATGTAAAAATTTGTAAGCGAGATATTATATAAAAAACAGGACATAAAATCATAAAAACATAGGGAATGGAAGAGCTATGTGTTGTAGGCAATCCTGAACAGGTGTGTTTTTAGACGGGACTTGAAAGTGGAGAGAGATGTGCAGTTTTGGAGGTCCGGAGGTAGATTGTTCCAAAGCTTTGGAGCAGCGCGACTGAAGGCTCTCGCTCCTATGGTGCTCAGGCGGGCAGGGGGCACTGACAGGTGGAGGGAGGACGAGGATCTGAGGGAGCGATTGGGGATATGCACCTGGAGAAGGTCGGACAGGTAAGGAGGGGCCAGGTTGTGGATGGCCATATATGTATATAGCAGCAGTTTGTAATTGATGCGATGTTGAACAGGAAGCCAGTGGAGCTGTTGGAGAACGGGGGTGATGTGCTGCTGGGAAGATGTTTTTGTAATGATGCGAGCAGAGGCGTTTTGGACCAGCTGGATTTTATGGAGGGACTTTTGAGGTAGGCCGAAGAGGAGAGCGTTGCAGTAATCAAGGCGGGATGTGACAAGACTGTGGACAAGAATAGCAGTGGTGCGGGGGGTGAGGGAAGGGCGAAGTCTGGTAACGTTGCGGAGGTGGAAATAGGCAGTGCGGGTGATGGTGTTGATATGTGAGTGGAAGGTTTCAGCAAAGCGGTGGAAGTGGATATTAAATTTGCGGAGGATATGACCAAGAGGCAGGAGGTAGGTGATGAAGAGAAGGGGACCTAGGACAGATCCCTGGGGTACACCTGTGGTGACTGGGGAGGGCTTTGAGGTGAAGGATTTGAGCTGGACAAACTGAGTGCGGCCGGTGAGGTAGGAGTGGAACCAACTGAGGGGAGTATGGGAGAGACCAATGGAGGAGAATCTATTGAGGAGGATAGGGTGAGAGATTGTGTCAAAGGCGGCGTTCAAGTCTAAGAGGATGAGGATGGAGACTAAACCGGAATCAGATGCTACGAGGAGATCATTTACAACAGGGGTCCCCAACTGCCGGTCCGCTGACCGGTACCGGTCCGCAGGGCATTTGGTACCGG